ATATATATATATACACACACACACACACACACACACAGCCTACATATACATACAGTATATTTGTTGTTGTAGCTTAAACTGTTGCCTTATTTACACCCACAGCCTAAAAATGCAAATATGAGGTTGTCATCGTTATTGGGCAAGTTGTCGTCTTTTTTTTTTTTTTACTTTTTTTTTTATACAATCCATTCATTTCAATTTTCTGGACAAAACAATGATTTAATACATTTGTTACCTTTTACATTTGTGCTGCTTTATGAATTGTTTTATTACTGTTAAACTGTTTTTCTGAAAAGCCATTAAATGTGCTTATTAGACTATTCATGTTTCATAGTATTTGTTGTATTGTCTATATGCTGCTTTTAATATAAACATGTTCAGTTTCATTACTGTAATTACAATTTAATGAAAAGCACTGAAGATCATGTGAAACGTGAGTAACGCCACAGCAGGGAAAAAATATTTTTAAAATGAGCTTCGTTTTCTAGCAAAATGGTCATTTGCAGAAATCTCCTTGTGAGAAAGAAATGGAGAGACTTTATGCACATCATATGTATGTTGCTGTCACTTATTGTAACAATGAGAATAGTTGTTGTCTCTTATTACAGCATGTTCAAAAGCTGAATATTTTGATCATTCAAGCAGACCAAAGCCTAATGGTTTTAAACCGACTCACAACTGTATAAGCACTGATTGACTGGTGGCATCCTCCTTCATCTGCTTGTGTTGAACAACAAAGTTTAAATATAACACAGAAGATAGAAGAACAATAAATTCTAGATTATGGCTAATTTGCTGAAATTTTTACTATATAATATTAAATTAACATCGAAGATTAAATAACCAGCTTTACGAGGCTACTGTGACACTGCACTGCTTCAAGTCAAGTTTATTTGTACAGGGCTTTTCACGATACAAATCATTGCAAAGCAACTTTACAGCAAATTACATTTCTACAATATTTAGTGGTAGCTTATCAGTGGTGACTGTCAGTTAAAAAAACAGAAACAAATAGAGACATAATTAGCATAGCTGCTGTTCCAACCAAGCAAAATTGATTTGTTTAACCCAAACTAAAGAATAATCATGTGCATTTGATCAGGTATAACTGCAGTACAAGATTATGAGATGCATTATTTGAATGCTTGGCCAAAGAGGTGTGTCTTTAATCTAGATTTAAACAGAGAGAGTGTGTCTGAACCCCGAACATTATCAGGAAGGCTATTCCAGAGTTTGGGAGCCAAATGCGAAAAAGCTCTACCTCCTTTAGTGGATTTGCTATCCTAGGTACTACCAAAAATCCAGAGTTTTGCGACCTTAGGGAGCGTGATGGATTGTAGCGTGGTAGAAGACTAGTTAGGTACGCAGGAGCTAAACCATTAAGGGCCTTATAGGCAAGTAATAATATTTTGTAACTGATACGGAACTTAATAGGTAGCCAGTGCAGAGACTGTAAAATTGGGATAATATGATCATATTTTCTTGACCTGGTTGAGAGAATGGGTATTACTGTTGTACCATGGCGCACAACCTTTACTAATTCAGTTTGTTTTCAAATGTTTCACAGTGACATTGTATTAAAAACCAACCTTTTCTCCTGTTAAAATTAGTCAAGACGTACAAAGACATACATAATTCACAAATGTGTTCCTACACAATTTGAAGAAATCCTTTGTGGCGTATTAACAGTCATAACACAGAATGACATGGGACATTGAAAAACATGTAATCTGACTGTTAGTTCTTCTGTGTGTTGTTTCATTTTGTAATTGCTTTGTCCCTTGTACCGTTTATGGTTTCCAGCAAAAACTCACCACATAATTGCTTCTGGCTCCTCATGATTATTGTTTTTATGCCCGACATCAGCATTTGTTCTGATTTAAATCTATATTTGTGAGAAGCTAAATCAGGCTTTGTAATAATTACAGCAATCAGGACCATTCAGACTACAGTCAGAGAGGGAAAAACAGCACAAACCTGCCAGAAAGACAACAAAAACTGTGAACACAGGGAGGCAGTGTTATTCTTTTGCATTTCTTTTGCATCTTTTGCATGAACCCTCTTAACCCTCGCTTGGGTACAACAACAGTAAATGTGAACTTGCAAATATGAAAAGATGCTTGCCAGCAAATTTTGATACAAATGAAAATGTTGGAAACAGAATCAATCAAATACAAGTAGGCCTAACAAATATCAAACATTTTAGACTCACTCCACACAATGTACAACATGGAGATATACTTAAAGTACATCAAAACTCATATTTTATTTTATGTATAGCAATACAATTTACATATTAAATAACACTATAATAGAATGCTTTGATATAGCTTTTAACAAAAAGAAGAAAGAAGAAAGAAACCCTTCAAGAAAAAAAAAAACCAAGAAGAAAATTCCTCTGTGTGTTATTCCAGATTAGAAAAAGTGGATAGGATGGTGACACCCACCTGCTTTGAAATGTATTCTTTGACTTACAAGATCTATTGCACTTCTGGACAATGAAACAGATTTTATTTTGATTCAAAGGGGAAAAAAAAAAAGAAAAGACATACCACAATCACTGCCTTAGTTTATGATTGTTGTGTGTTTGGAATGTGATGTTAGCCACCTTCTGAAGGATTTGGGGACATATTGTGTTAACCACCAACGAGAACTAAACACAAAACTAAAAACAAACAAACAAACAAAATTGATTTATATGAAAATATAAAGTTTGCAACTATTTACCATGATACAAAGCTTTTAGAGACTGATGGGTTAATGAAGCAACAAAAGATATGTACATTTCCTAACATGATAATGTAAATATGTTTGCAAATGCTAGAGCAATAAAAGGAAAAAAGGGACACCACAGGACACAAATGTTAGAAAAGCTTTAGAAATGCAACTTGTCAGCTCTAATTATCTTATGCGCTGCACAAGCAAAGTCAGAATATTACCCCAAATGTTGGAGAGATGTGACTTAATTTTCCAGCCTCCTTCTTAGGAGAAACAAGACATGAACTGAATAAACACCTTCAGTGTGTGTCTTCTCCATCTCAACAGCATGACATTGTCAGTCTTTCTAAAGAATTTCAAAAGTTAAACAACATTTTGAACAGCTTTCTTCTTCACATCAAAAGAAATCAGTAATAGTGTACATTCTAATTCGTTTTACTATAATTGCAACAGAAAAAAACAAACAAAAATAGGGGTGACCTGTCAGACAAACAAATGTTTAGTGAAGTATCTTGGACAAAAATAAAACAAACAAACAAACACTCAGAATGCAACAAAAAAACAAAAACGCAAAGCAAAACATAAAAAAACCAAACAGACAAAAAAACGCCAAGCAAAACAAAAAACAAAAATGCAAAGCAAAACAAAACAAAAACATTGACATTTTCAACATTGTTTTTCCAGTCACTACCAAAAACATTCTTCTTAAAACTGCTTTACCAAATAGTAAAAATAAAAATGTTCTCACGTTTCATGACTGACGTGAACGACAGTTGTAGTCTTTGGTAAAAATTTATGAATCACGGGTCCCCAGTTTTTGAAGCGATAAGACTGATTCTAATGTTTTGTTAGCAAGGCCTTTGTGCTGTATGGCATGAGACAACCGTTTATGAAATTACAGTAACTATTTTTCCCTAGCAGTGTCTGAGAATCACAAGAAATGAGAGACATTAAAAGAGGTCAGTTTAGTGAAGAAATGCTTGGACTGAGTCTACAAGTTTCTAGTAAAACCAGTCAATACCAAACACAACACACACCTATATCACACACATACACACACTTGCCGAGGTGAAATGAGACTGTACAGAAGGCATCGAGAGACTTGTATACATTATTCTCAAAGTTATGGGACGGCTTATGTCAGTGAACTATTAAAAAAACCCAGGACGAAATAGAGCAGTATAGAATTACAAAATGAAGTGGGCAAATAACAGAATTAACTCCTACATTATGAGTCGCATGATGTCATTACACGTTCAGTTGCACTCAAGTGAAAAAAGTAGCAGCTTGCAGCATAAAGCAATGGAGAAATCAAACCAGCAGGGGGTGCTAGAGAAGTCACGGGCTCTGCGGATCCTTCAACCGAAAGCAGAGACTGTGACGGCTGCTCGAAGAGACAGTTAACACTGACAAAAGCACAAGTTATCATGATATACGATATATTCATATATATTAAAAGCAGAATATGAATCATACAAAAGTTCACAGTAGCTGTTTTAATACCACCTTTTGAAAGTAAATATGGGTTTAACTAGAAGCATAATGAGTAAATATACTATTTGGGGTGCGCGAAATGATCAAAAGCGAACAAAAATCAAAACTAACATACTCCATATTGTTCATATGGTCTTTCATCGGTGAATCTGACGTTTTGTGGTGGGTCTTCGCAAGTTGGACATGGGAATAATCTCTTTTTCCAGCATCTGAGGTGTGCGTGGGAAACCGTTTTTCGTTTGTGGCGGATATCTCTAAAGCTTCGGAGAGCAGCTTTATTATGGAATGTCAAAATAAGGGCTTGACAGTGAGAATTCAAGTGAGTGAGAGAGACTGACTGTGGTCTAGATGGTGGAGTAGGCAGTAACACTGATATTTTCATAGTGCAAACTAGACAGAACTGGTTTTGTTTGTCGTGAACTCAAAAACGTCGGTGCAAATGTTCAGTAGGATAACATTAAGACATAAAATGGCGAAAAAATAAATATCAAAAACTTTTTATCAGTGTAAAAAAGTAATCAGGTTATTCTTTTAACCAAGAGTTCTGGCAAAAAAGGCCTCAGAAAAAGTCTGCCTTAGTCCTTGAAGTTTTACAAAGTTAGATTAAGTGCCTCTTCGTGCCTGTTCGTGGGCTTTAGACGAGGGACTCCATGCTTTCAGCCAGGTCCGATTCATCAGACATGGCCACGCTGCCGTTTCTGTCCAGGAACATGGGGCTGGATCCGTTCTCTTTAGTGCTTATCAGGCTGAGCATAGCTTTGTAAAGGTACTGGTACTGTTCCTGAAACACAGAGGCAAACATGAAAACATGACTTCAGAAAGGGGCACAGAAAAATTGTGTTTAGAAAAGGTACAACCAGACAAACAAGCATGTGAATGATGCCTGCTATGCAAAATTCGCTGCCACAATGCTCCAACTCTGCTGTGTAGATATGACTCTAGTGCCTCCTTCCAACTGCAGTCCAGTAGGTGGCAGAAATTCGGCTTTTATCACGGTGTGTAAAAATGTCAGAAGCAGCAGGAGAACATTTCTGTCACCTACTGGAGAGGAGTGTGAAGTGATGAACAGCTCACAAGGGATCACAGTTTAACTTAAAACTGATTCAATAATATCGATCCTTGCACTTAAAATGCAGAAGAAAATAGATAGTAAGGCCACATTTGATTAATTTGTTCCCTCTTTTCAGTTAAAGTATGGCGATATTGTACTAATTTGCTCTAAACTGGGAACAAATTGTGCTGTGGGTATGAACTCGTGGCTGTGTTTTATTAATTAGTTGCCATGTTTTAGTTGAATCGTAGCCACACTGTACTAATTTGTTCTAATTCAGAAACAAGTCTCGTGTGTGAACTTATTGCCACTATTTACTATTTTTTCCCTTTAATTTTAGTCAGATAATGTTCACATTGTACTGATTTGTTCTAATTCTGTAGCCACACTGTACTAATTTGTTCTAATTCAGAAACAAGTCTCGTGTGTGAACTTATTGCCACTATTTACTATTTTTTCCCTTTCATTTTAGTCAGATAATGTTCACATTGTACTGATTTGTTCTAATTCGTGAACAAATTAAGTCATGGGAACAACTTTGTGGCCACATTTTATTCATTTGTTCCCTTGTTTTAACTAAATCGTGGCCAAATTGTACTAATTCATTCTAATTCGGGAACAAATTAATAAGTTGTGGCTATGAACTTGTGTCCACGTTTTATTAATTTGTCCCTCATTTTAGTGAAAGTGTGGCCACATTTTCCTACTTCATTCTAATTTGGGAACAAATTAAGTTGTTGGTGTCCTGACATTTTATCCTACCCGTCAGATTGTCCTACCAGGGTTTACTGCGCATGCGCACATCAATATTGCGTCCTTTTTCTCATGCTGAACAACAATATTTAATGTATCTGCATTACTGTAAGAGTAGGTTTAGGGTTGGGGCAGGTGTAGACTTTAATAAAACAATCTAATAGGTAGAAAAAATATTTATTGTTGGTTTCCTGTAGCTGTATCCTTTCTAGCTACAACCGCGAATATAACACATAATTACTGTATTTGCATTACTGTAAGGGTAGTTTTAGGGTTGTGGTAGGTGTAGACATTAATAAAACATAATTTTACAGGTAGCACTTTTCGTTGTCGAATTGTACTACCCACTGTTTTAATGGGAGGTAGCAAAATCTGACAGGGTAGCACAAATCGACAGAACAGTTGGAACAAATTGGTGGCCAATTTTGTTCCCTCATTTTAGTTAGATTGCGACCATAGATCGTGGCCATATTGAACTAATTTCTAATTCAGGTACAAATTAAGTAGTTGTGGAAAGATAGTTTCTTTTCCTTTTTTGCTTGCTTATCATTTCCATTTTGGTAAGTACATATGCCATATTATCCTTTAAAGTGAGTGACAACGTACTGCCAAATTCACCCAGACATGTTCTGTATGTGTTCTGTAGAAGAAATAGTCATTTAAGGTTTAAAGGTGAGTAGATGAATTATATCTGATGTGAACTAAACCTATAAATATGACCTGTATAAACCTATAGATCTCAGTATAAACACTTACAATGTCGGTAAAGACGCCTGGTCTCATGAGGTTGATCATCTTGGCCACTTGGTAGACCCCCACAGCTCCTTCACTCTCCAGCTGCTGTGACAGTGTGGTGAGAGCACATAACATCCCAGCAGACACTGCACCAAACCTGTCCAAATAAATATATGCATATGATAATTTATATATAATATATCAACTCATTTGCCCTCTTGTAATGTGTCATATGTCAGATTGAGAGATTATTCAATTGTCTTTTAATATTTAACTGAGTTTTTCATCTACTCTTTTCTTTTCTTTTCCAAAAAATCATGCACAATAAGACAAATAGGAACAATAATGTGCATGAAAAAAAAAACAAAGAAACAAATATATATATATATATAGACCCCCACAGCTCCTTCACTCTCCAGCTGCTGTGACAGTGTGGTGAGAGCACATAACATCCCAGCAGACACTGCACCAAACCTGTCCAAATAAATATATGCATATGATAATTTATATATATCAACTCATTTGCCCTCTTGTAATGTGTCATATGTCAGATTGAGAGATTATTCAATTGTCTTTTAATATTTAACTGAGTTTTTCATCTACTCTTTTCTTTTCTTTTCCAAAAAATCATGCACAATAAGACAAATAGGAACAATAATGTGCATGAAAAAAACAAAAAAAAAAACAAATATATATATATATATATATATATTACAATACTCCAAATTACAAAGTTCTGGTTTTATTTCACATGTATAGATTACTATATGTGACGTTTCTATTTCTACAGATTTCTGTTTATTGATCATCTGGTACAGTCCTTCTGTCTCATTTTTATCTTGTGTTTTTGCTTCTCTCTCTGACAGTAGTGCAACTTTTCCCACCATAAACTCCATATATAAGGATAGAATTCATTACCATTTCTATTGCTTGACACCCTAAGGTGCTGTGATCCAATTAGTCCTAACGAGTATTCCTTAATATCAACTGACATCACTTTGCAACAAAACGACCAACAATGGCCCCTTCATGCTTATTCATTATGTTAACGAGGCCTGCTTGCCTCATCTGATAAACATGGTGGACTAATTTAGCTTTTCAAAATATGTAATGTTACTATGGTATCACCCCTAAGAGCTGTCTTAATTAGCATCGTCTTCATTACAGCTCCAGATATGCAAGTCTGTCGAATGCTTCTCCTGCAGAAGCTGTTGACAGAAGCAAAGATCTGCCTCTCCTGTGGAGCTATTTCTGCGCTCAGCGTCTCCCTGGTGTTTGCCAGGGAGCTAATTCTGTCTAGAAGGAATCTCAACTCTTTGTAGTCTAAAATGGAACGTCTTTTGTTGCCACTGTGAAAATTGAGATTGAATTGAATCCTCCAATGATTCACTAGAAGGAGCTGAACATAAAGGATGGCCAAAAAAGCTGATTGAGTCAAGAGGGAGTGTTTGAGAACCTATAAGGCTGAATTTGGCTCAATTTGCATACTTTCATTAGAGACAAAAAGTATGTATTGGCAAAGTATTCACGCCTCAAGTCACAAAACATGAAAACATGTTGTATTGTTCCAGTTCTGACGTGCTACATACTATATCAGATGCTTGATATATGCAATTGAACCAGTGTTTCTATATAAACCAGAGGCAGTTTTCACTAAATGCTGAGAATCAACAGGCTTTCTAAGCCAAAATTGTACATTTTTAATAAAAGGTCATTACTCACTCATCATGCACTATAGTGGGTCCATCTCTGGTCATGGCCTCTTCTTTAATGACATTGATGAGCTCAAAGGTGCTGCTAATGGGAGCATCAGGGTTTGGCCATTTTGGGCATTGAAAATGACGAACTTCTAAAACATAATCATCCTAAAAAGTAAAAGTATAAATATTATTACATTACTATAATATTATTATATTATATAAACTTTTATATGAACTACATATAAAACTATTTATGTATATACTGTACTGTACAAAAATTTGGGGCCAGTAAGATTGTTTTTAGCACTTTTATTCAGCAACAATGCATTGAATTGTTCAAAAATGGCAGTAAAGACATTTATAATGTTACAAAATATTTCTATTCAAATGAATGCTGTGTTTAACTTTCCATTCATTAAAGAATCCTGAAAAAAATGTATCACGGTTTTCACAAAAATATTAAGCAGCATTAAATAGTGAATATTAAAATGTTTTATGAACAATAATAATTTCTGAAGGATCATGTGATTTTAAATTCTAATAACAGTTCACAATTATAATACTGTATTTACCGTACTGTTTAGCTGTTTTTTATGTAATAAACAGTCTTGGAGAGCATAAGAGACTTTTTAAAAAACACTAAAACATCTTACCAACACTTTTGAACGGTACCCAAACTTTTGAAAAGTATTGTATAAATATATTATATATAATATCATCTCTTTCTTGCTTTCTTTTTTGATCCTTTCTCTCTACATAATTACATTTATAAAATAATATTTATAATATTGTAATATTGTATATTTTAGTACAATATCTTTAAAAATTATATAAGATAATATTAAATGAAATGTATATAATTAATTGTATATCATATCTTGTTTAAATCCAAAAGTTTACAATCAAAAATACAGACATTTGTGGCCTCAGGGAATATTATAAATTATATAATAATATAACTAAAAATAATACAACCATATTCGATGAAATACATATAAATAATTATATATTATATACAGTTTGAATCTAAATCCTTCCCTCCAAAGACACAGACCTGTGTGGCCTCCAGGATGAAGTCATGTATGATGATTTGCTCCTCATTGGAGAGGCAGAGTCTGTCTTTACTGATAAGGGTGACTGTAAATGCCTCACAGTTCATGGCTTCCTCTCGACTCGGCCAATACACAAACTCATCCTCCGCCTGCGGCAACAAACGTGAGTGAGCATCAACGCTGAGTAATTAAAGACTTTTAGAAAGACTGGTGCTCTTACAACCGATTCCCATAGTTCCCTGCCCACAATAACAAGATATCGGCTGACCTTGAGGAGCACAGCCTATAACATTAACTTGAGTTTCCCTCATTAGAGGCAGCACATCACTCAAGACAACCAGGAACTTTGCAGATGGTCTTGAATACCCACCAGGCTCTGGTTGTCTGGTAACATGACGATGATTTGAGCGTTATGGTCCCAGATCATCCTCCAGAAATCTTTAGTGGTGTGAGGCAAGGGATGCTGGGTAATGATGAACTCATTGCTCCGGTAGTAGCCCTAGTAGTCGCACGGAAACGTTCAATAAACAAAAGGAGCAATCAGTTATTCTTGGCTATTGGTATACAACAGGTAGCATATAAATTTACCCTTCATTTATAGTTAGTTAATTCCAGTTACTTAAATAATATCCTTAGTAGAAGTTAAAAAGGCAAAATGACAATGTGAAGTTGACTGTTTCTCGTTGACCTGCCATCTTTGAACCATAAATAAAACCCTTTATGTGTACTATTTTGTGCACAGGTGCTGTAAAACCAACATTACAGCAAATTTTCACTCTTATGACCATAAATCCGAAGTTTTCCCCAGAACTATGTGTGCTCAATTCAGTACAGGTTAATGCTTAGTTGTAGTGGGGGTGTTGGGTACTCACCATTATATAAGATGCATTGATGTAATCAGTGCCTTTCATCCCAGGCAATGGTGCGAGACCAACACGTGCTCTTTCCGCTGAGAGGGACAAAAACAGCCAATCAGGATGCAGAATAAGAGAGCAGGTCAGTGATGTGATTTCATTAGCTCAAACAAGCTGCAAGCACAATTTTGAAAGCTGTGTTGCAGTTTGGATACTAGAATGTCAGGCAAGAAGAACTGTCAAAGAAATCCAAGGTATTTGAAAAAGATAAAAAATGAGTGGCCACATTACATCAGTATGCCACAGTAAACCATAATTACTCAACAAATATACAATAAAAAATGTGATGTGCTATTTTATTTAAATTAGGTTATGTTACTCACATGGGACAACAGAAGAGTTGCGGTTCTTCTCCTTGTTGCATTCTTTCTGAGCACTGAAGCACTCCACAAATCGTGCATTGCACTGAGTCACCAACTGAACATAAATAGAACTAATTACTTTTTCTTTATTTCAAAGTAGCATGAAACATCACATAAGACAACTTCAACATTTTGAATTTAACAGCAAGAAAATGTGTCTCATTGCAGTCTACTAAACTGCAGTCAGAATGTCAGGGCTCAACAAAACAAAACACAAAGCAAAGCAAAACAAAGCACAGCAAAGCAAAACAAAAAACAAAACAAAACAAAACAAAACAAAAAACAAAAACAAAACAAAACAAAACAAAACAAAAACAAAGAACAACCAATTGACGTTTATATATAAAAGTCATTAAGTTCTACAAATGCAACCTGGAAATTTAAGAGGAAGGAAATATGTCCTGCAGTTGTAGCCTACCAAATAAAATGTAATGTTGATTTACATTCAGGTGTTGAATCCGAACCAAAAAGAACCATAAAATGTGAGAATTTCGGGCTCAATAAAATATTTTATAAACTCATGAAACTCAAGCAAGCCACATATCACACATTTTACCCGCACAGAACCTGTCAAGCTTCGGTTGTAAGTCACAGTGTCCTAACCGGGTATGAAATGATAAAGCAACAAGCGATAAAAGTGAGCCAATTTGTGGTGCAAAATGCTTCTCCACATAAATATGCATTAAAAATCAAATCTCTTCTGATATGCAGAGAATGTGTCATGCATTGCAATAAGTGCTGACAGACAAACTGCCTGTCCAAATGACTTTGCATAAGGAAAGAGATAGTCTCCACCTTGAACTGCTTTTCCAGTCGTGTTTTGCCCCCTGGGCCCGGCGTCAGGATGTTGTTGACGTAACTGTGCAGCTGACTGGAGGGCACCTCTGTTTCCTTCCCAAGAATGGCTTCCATCAAGGCATCGTGGATGAAGATATACTGCTCCTAAACACACAGAGACAGACAAACAGAGAGGTAAAGAGACATCCTAGATGACCCTAGGATGCAAACAGGACAGATTTAGACTGGTGGCTCACTTCCGTTTGGACCAGGTAGTTTCTCTGAGTTCGTATATGTTTGAGGAAACCCAGCACATTGACTGAGCCTTTATCCTTCAGCTGCTGCAGCATGCTGTCAATCACAATGTAAGTTCCTGTCCTGCCCACGCCAGCACTGAAGAAGACACATTATTAACATATAAAACAGTTTGTTTATTGCTCTCCTTAGCCATCCAATCAGCCAGTGGAAGTGTGTGTGTTTTACCTGCAGTGTACAAGCATGGGGCCCATCTCTGGAGTCTGTGCGGCAGAGGACTTCCTGACGAAGGTGAGCACAGGTAACGTGTATTCAGGGACGCCCATATCCGGCCACTGAGTGTAGTGATACTGCAGAACTGTTCTTTCACTCTGACGGCCCTTAGTGTTACCCTTCTGACCCTGCAAACACACACTCACTCACTCCTCAGTTCTGCTCTGAGTGATGGTTTATCTGAGGGACTGCAGAGGAACTGAGGGCAGCAGCTCGGCGTGTGAGGCTGGCATTTGGTCAGCAGGAGAGTGCAGAGGGGGGCTGCATGTTTTTGCAGCTGACCAGACCTCCCATTTTCACATGAAAGACCTGCGAACACACACACACACACACACACACACACACACACACACACACACACACACAAACAGACGAAAGTTTTACAACTACATATGACCCTTCAACATAAAAGAACAAAGAAGAACAACATAGACTGTTTTATAAATTAAGCCAGAACAAGACACGACACAAAACAGCAAAGCTAAACAACAAAGCGAAACAAAACGAAACGAAACAAAACAAAACAAAACAAAACAAAACAAAACAATCAAACCCCTTATCTTCACATAACCCTCACTTTGCATTCAAACTTGCAGCAAAGATGTGTGATAATGCTTTCTTTTTTTTTTTTTTTTTTTTTTTTTTTTTTATTACCATACATACATTTTTCATTGCTGTAAAAAAGTGGCACCTAAACTGATATCTAAGTGGCTGCTATAAAAAAGCCCCTTATTTATTTGCTGCCAGTGGCCTTGGTGTGGCTCTATGTATTATGAAAGAGATTTACGGAGAGAGTCGATCACTCTCACTGATGCTGTGAAGGCCAGGACCTTGCATAAGCTCCTTAAAGATTTTTCCTCTGGCCAAACCCTCCACAATCCTTCTCACAAGTGAAGGAAAGCAGGTCAAACCATGTGCAATTACTGTCTGGATCATTCCGTGAGAGATGTGCCTTTTCCAGTTTGATGAGGTGAGAAAATAAATGCTTATAAAACAGTCTATCTGAATTAAAAACAAACAATGTGTATGTGTTAATAAATGGCATTGTGTCATCTCAAGATAAATTTATTTTAATATCTGTTGAGAACTCAGAAACCCCTCATGAAGGTAAAACAAACCAACAGGATTGACAGTGTAATCCAACATACATTTAACAAACAACTTGTGTTCAAACTCGTGAAACTGTAAAGTGCTTCTTATATAGAGAATTTTGTGCTCGTATTTCTGCAAATGATCTTGTTTACCATACAAAAGCACAGTAGCAGGGTTTTTCAGATCTACTCTATTGACAAATATAACAAAACATAAGATAAGTGAATATAATATTAAGTGAATATAAAGATAATATTTAATAATACAGTGTCAACTAATACCTACATATACTAAAATCTGAAAACATACAGAAAAACGGTGAACATGCTAGTTTTTATTTCCATATACTTCATTTTTATTAAATTATGTATTTGTTAATATAGCAAGGAGAGGATAAAAAAAAACACAAAGCTAATGATTAAAAAAAAAAGTCAGTTAACTCCATTTCTGTTAATGTGTTTCGAAAAATGTCTAAATTAAATAAAAGCTGGCTTAAACTACTCATTGCTAAAGTCATTTCTAATACATAACAAGTATATATTTTATTGTGTGCTTTTTCATTTAAGCTGGTTAGTTGGTTGGTTGGCATTGTAACAACATGTCAGCTTTCTTGGCTATTTAACAAGTTGAAACCATATAAAAGAGCAACTTAAAAAAATCGATCTCATGTTTTCAAAGTTTGCGTTCGATAAAAACTCTAAAATGGATTGTTTGCAGAGTGATATTTTCTAAGAAAACTTCAACCAGCACAATTTAATAAAATATGTTTAAGAGATTCTGGACTTAAATGACTTTTTTTTCCCATTAGGGATCATTTTATACAGTTTGTTGTTGGTACATCCATCCCATTCATTTTGCCATTTGTTGATGATTTTGGTTTAATTCAGCAGCAGTAGAGAAGGAGGAGTCTAAGGGGAGAAATAAAAAAGGTGTTTACCTTCCTTACTTTGGTGTTTCTGATAGTGAAGATGCGGAGTGTGTAGCACGCCATTACTTTGGTTCTCTTCAGAGTCACCACAATATTACCGTAATCCTCACTGTTCTCTGTCGGCCAGTACTGGTCGCATTTTCTCTGTGAGACGCACACAGAAAGAGAACAAAAGAGGCCATATAAAACAAATGATTATTTTATGATTCTGAAACTGTAATGGTTGTGACATTATAACTCACTCTGCCTTTCTCCACCAGGTTAGTGATCATGACTATAATGCAGGTGTTTTGTTCCCACACCATCCGCCAGAAGTCCTCGAATGTGGACTTGAGGGGACCCTGAGCTGCAATGTAGGCCTTGGGTTTATTGTAGCCCTGTAGAGGAGAAAGATACAGAAATTAAATCACACTCAGTCAAGTCATTATGTATATGGAAGCCTCACATCAGTGTGTTCTGCACACATCACTCACATCCACATAGTTGGCATTGATGTAGTCACTGTGTTTAGAGTCTTTTCCTGCCAGAGGCCTGAGCTTCACTCGACTGTGGTCATCTGAAGGAAACAAACAAACAAACAAGAGATTCATGTTTGATGTCTGACCTACAGTTGGGTACAAAAGTCCGAGACCACAGTGAAAATCTAGAATTCAGAACTAAAGTAAAAAGGCAAATATAAAGATTTTGAAACAATATGGAAACATCCTGACAGAATATTGCCTTCACTGAAATGCAAGATTTTTAAAGTCATGTTAGATAACAAGATCATCAGGTTTTGAACAAACTCAAGTGCTGCTGTAAAATTAAAGCAAATGGGAACAAACCTAATTCTGGAAATTTACACTAAAAAGTAATATTGTGAAATATTATTAAGTATTATTTAAAATACTTGTTTCATGTTTAAAAATGTAATATATTCCTGTGCTGATTTTTTAATTTTTTTTAAATATCTTTATATTCCTGCTGAATTGTCACATGAACCTTTAGAAATCATTCTAATATGTTGATTTGCAGCTCAAGAAACATTTTTTTATATAATAAATGATGAAAACAGTTGTGCTTCTATAATACACTTTTTCAGGATTCTTTGATGAATAGAAAGTTCAAAAGAACAGCATTTGAAAATCGAAATCTTCTGTAACATTATACATGTCTTTACTGTCACTTTTAATCAATTGAATGCATCCTTAATGAATAAAATGATGAATTTCGTCCAAACAAAAAAATATTAACTCAAAACTTTAGAACAATAGTGTATGTAAATTGAACATGAACAGAAAATTGAAAATGAACAGAATTGAAATTGATATGCTTATAATATAATTAGTATTTAAAAATGCTAAATTACAAAAACAGAAGCATTTTCGCAAGTGGTCTCAGACTTTTGGATCTCTGTGCATTTTATAAAGAGAGACTCACAGGCTATGATGTTGATGTATCTGTTTTTGTGCTTGTTATTGTCATTCTGAAAAAAAAACTCATTTTCATACAGATAATAAATACAGAAAATAAAGACATTAAAAAAAAAAAACTTTTTTGTATTAATTATGTTAATCTACTGTTTTGCTTAATTGTAATTTAGTTTAATATTTTCTTATCTAATACAATGATATTCATACATTTTACATGTGACAGTTTTATAGACAACTGCTGTGCATTAACATGAACACTGTTTTTAGTTTGCATATAAGCATGTACAGCAGGTTCAGCAAAGCTAACATCCTGAGGCTGTTAACAGATCGCTCAATAAACACACGAGCACTTGACACACTCTATTAACACCATGCAACAAAAATGTTGAGATGTTTAAGTGATGTACCGGAACATAAGGATTGGCTGTGTGTGCATTAGTTGGTTGTGTGTTTGCACTGCATTTGAAGAGTGTGTGGACAAGCTTGTTTAAAACCACAAGACGTTTGAAAATCTGCCAGGGGCTGTTTTCAATAAGTCTCTCATCCCCACACACGCACACTGTATGGTACCAGCACCTGAACTAACCTCACTAGCATTCTGAGCAGACTGAAGAGCTGATACTTCACAGAACATCACAGGGTAAGTCAACATTTATGGGAGGACAGTCCATGACTGTCAATTCCATTCATGTGTGACCTGTGATATCGTATTTGATGCTGGTCATATTACATGAACACCTGTGAAGGGTTTTTCATGAAAAACCCATTTAGCAACCCATTTGATTTTCTTGCGTTAAGAAAACAAGTTGCACTGGGAATTGATTGGATGATGAAAAGTGTGCTTTTTATGTGAATGCAACTTCGCAGTTGATTGTGAAAAGGGAAAAAAATGAAATCAATTCATGTTAAGAAACCAAGATGATGAGCAGGGCAAGAAGGCCAAAGGTCAAGTTCACCTTCAAGAGCATCATAACTAAAGAGAACATGATGTTAACCAAGAAGCTTTTGTTTACTGACCAAACGGAGAGAAGCCTGTTCCTGTAAAACTGTACAGTTCAGTGCTAAGAGTGAATGTAATGTTATCTTGTATATACATCTATATTCAATTTTTGCTGCCTATATTTAAAATGTCATATTTAAAAAACCCTAGATTGTGTTAAAGCCATTGTTATTTGGAATAATTTAATTTAGTTTCTGGTGCTGAGGAGAAGTAAAATCTGGGTTATTGTGATACAGCGATATAGACATTCTCTAAGAAATTCTTAGATATTAATGGACAAATTCAATCTCACATATTAATTTAAACCTACATATAATGGTTTGTCATGTGCTCTGCTTTTTTTTTTATTATTAATTAAACAATAGACAAAAACGATATGGTTTGTTTAGTATTGATTTCTGACGTCCATCCATTCATCTTCCATACCGCTTGATATTTTTATAATCTATTTGGACTCTCTTTCTGACGGCACACATTTACTGCAGAGGACCCACTGGTGAGCAAGTGATGCAATGCTACATTTCTCTAAATTTTCAGCAAATTTAAATTTTTGGGTCAAGCACTCCTTTAAAAAAGTCTTATAAGAAAAAAAAGTAAATAAGCCTGTTCTCCGCTACTCTTCTCAGACTCTGATCTGTCTTCCTCTCTGGTATTCTCCATTCACTCTTCTCTCATTTTCAGCTGAATGCCAAACTTCCCCAAGTGTCCTCTTCTTTTTTTCCCTTTGAGTCGCTTTTCTCCCACCCCCCCCTCTAAAAAACTCATACCCGAGGCGCACATAATCCCTGTGCCTGTCCAGGCCTAGCCAATACCCCTCCTCTTCTCCCTGGCTCCCATGATCGCTGCCACCCCAGCCACTGCTTTTTTCGGCCCAGGCTGCACAAAGCCACTTGTCAGGGGCCTGGTGGGTTCTGTCCAAAAGGGGTTTGGCTTGGTTGTCTTCCCTTTTTTCTGTGCTAAAGTAGTGGAGGTGAGAGGGAAGGGTTAGGAGGCACAGAGGAATCCACTGAGGAGAAGCAGCACCAGAAAACCCCTTTGCAACCACTTCCCAATGTCCATCAAGACACACACACTTTTAGAGGCACTTCCCTGCGTCAATCAAGCAACCATGGAACAAAGAGGCCAAGGGAGGCCCTCAAAGGAACCTTTTAGTGACCCCCACACCTCCCCTTCTCTCCTCCTCTCATTCTCTCCTCTGAAGGAAGGAAAGTAGGAGACCTACTTTGAAACTGAACTGAAAGATTTTCCTTTGCATCATGACATGCACAACAGACATGGGCTACATTCACACAGTGTTCTATACTGACAAATTTATTTATTAGCAGGGGTGCAGCAAAAAAAAATTAAAACAATAATGCTGTCATTAAAAACTTTAATCATTAATTACGATATTCTGATTAAACAAATATACTTTGAAAATGGTACTTCAGTTGGAAGGTATCAAAATTGAAAAAGATATCAAAAATAGAATATGGTGTAATATATA